ATGGTTGGATTGGGTTAAATTTTAAAGTGAATTAAATTTGGAGATTTTTTTTATTTAACATTGTAATATTTTAATTTTGTATTAAAATATTAAAAGACTATATTAGTAAACAATAAAGTAAGAAAGGAAATAGACACTGATTCTAAATTTCATGATCGAGGTGTATTTTACCCCGAAGAAGAAAACAATTTAAATGAATTATAAAAGAATGAAAATGTATATTTATAATAAAAAAAAAACAAAAAATGTGCATCTTTTATAATATATAGTAACTTTTTAGAAATATTTTCCAAAACTCAACTATTAAAGTACTCCCAGTCAAATTGATACTAATTCAAGGACCATAAGACATATTTTATCATAACTACAATTGAAATAAATTATAGAAAGTAAAAATTAAAAAATGTGGACTTTTTTTATATAATATTTTTTTATTAATATTTTATATACACACATTTAGCTAACTTAAATTTAATCTAACTAGTTAGGTAAATTTAAATTAGATACATACCTATATGTATTATAGATACCCACATACACGTATATATATGCTTTGTTTGTTTATTTATCTTGTTTTAAAAATGATTTATTTATTTATTTTGAAAAGTAGTCTTTTATGTCTAGTATATAGACAATATTTTATTTGTATTATTAAATATTATGCATATTTAGAATCTTTTAATCTAGTTTTTTCTTTTGTATATTTTTAATTTGTCTAGTTGACTTGAGTATTCCTTAATTATATTCCACTTTTAGAAAGAAATAATTTGGAACAGTACTCATACTTATATTTTGACTATTTTTTAATGCCAGTTATATATTTATTTTAATAATATATTAGTTTTACTTTTATGTGTAACATTTTTTTAGGCGATAGAATGCAATGATAATAAGTGCAAGCTATGATTGAAATTACCTTATTTTTTAAAGTTAGTGACACCTCAATCGACACGAAACATATTAGTAAAATATATCATTTAATATAAATTTTTTTAATTTCGATTATAAAATAAATAAATACCAATAGATATACTAAAATTATATATATATGTTTCCTATTCTTATTTATACTATCATTTTTTCCCTCTATTTTTTACAACTCCACGTTCCTCTCCCTACTCCTCAATTCATTGGTAGATTTTTCGTCCTTTGGTCCAACATTCGTTATTGATATTTTATTTTTATTTAG